TCGGTGGTTTCGAGGTACTGGAAGACGCGATAGACGGGGCGTCGATACATGAAGAGGTGATCCTCGACACGCTCCACCATCATCCTAAAACCACTTCATTCGAAACGGTGGGTCACTTATCATCACCCACCACTTATCAGCCGGCTATCCGTATAGGTAGAAGAAGGCGCGGAGATCAAGTCAACTAGTCACTAGCCACACTAACGATGATGAGACTGGTTCAGCTAGATGTATGCACACGTTTCCCAACGTTGCGTAAGGTTCCTCGTCCCTGTCGGCGATCAATGTTCAGCAGCAACCGCTCATGTTTGCCGGCGCGCACTATTTTATTCCCGCGCAACGGTGAAATTGAATCGCCGGCGGATAAATCAAAAGGACCTCGTGTATCCTGCCATCGCTCGTCATTCGTCGTACGAACCAATTCACATCATCGCGCTGCACAAGAGGAGACGAGAAGGCGAGTTTTCGATTAAACGAGTTTCCGGACGGTCTCCTATTTGCACCGACGCGTTGTTTCGTCTCTCTCGCTCTACCTTCCCCCTTTCCCCGTCCTCTCTCTCTCTCTCTCTCTCTCTCTCTCTCTCTCTCTCTCTGTCTCGTTCACTGCATCGCCGCCGGTACCCGAATCGATACGTTCGCACAAACAGTCGTCGGGCGACAGGTGCACCAAAGGACTCTAGCGTGTCCTTGTTCGATCAACGACCCTCGGCCACCCTCCCTTAGTCTTGTTCTTCCAATCCTCTGCCGGTTATTCCAATTTCGATTATTATCCCGATCGTAATCGTATTTTGGCGAGATATATATCTGGTCTAAACAGCTGATACGAATGAATTAGTAGCGATAGTAATACGTTGCAATAACGTGCATTGATATATAGATATATCTGTAAATAAACATCATGTATCCCTCACTTTATGTACTTACAGAAACGAACGATAAATAGCGGTATCTCTACATTTCATATATATCTACATTTATACTTATTATATGTAAGTATCTATGTTTATTCTTTCGAAATGTATGTATAATACATGTGTGAGATTAGCAACAAGTTAAAAGCAGCTTGAGCGAGCGGTGAAATTACATACTATGTATCTTTGATATCTATCTAATTTCATTCTAATTTGACAAAGTACGATCCAGGTTTTTGGTTGCCGAATCTATGAAGCGGCGAACAAAGGCGAATTTGTGTTTCAGCGTTATTCGGTAGATGAAAGGAGAGCGAGGACATGCAATGCGACCCGAAGTGGGAAGCGCCGTTATCGCTAAATATTCAATGTTGCAGAAATGTGTCTGCTGTCTCCGTAAGAAACTTTACAACTGATAAGAGCGTCGCGTACGTATGCACGCGTACATGTATGAGCGTACCTAACCTACCCCAAACTGCGGGACACCGCCTAAGCCTGCCTGCCTGCCTGCCTGCCTGCCTGCCTGCCTGCCTACCTACCTGCTTGCCTGCAGTCACTGCAGCCCGACACCGCAGTGCAACCCCCCTACGTACGTGAACCTACGATAAATTACCGGTATTTCCATCCGTCAACAGTTACGCATTACTGTGCGCAGAGCGCTATTGATAATAACCATGACAATTTTTTAAATAGAAATATGTTCGTCACTACTACTTTCGAAGGATAAAATACTAAGACGCGTGTTCTTAGACAAGTGTAATCAACACTTGTCAAACATAAAAAATTCAATAAAAGTGCGATATTTAAATTATTCCCACAAACGATGCTCGTGCGAGAGCTCGTGCTCGTACCGCGTTAATCTTTCCTCGGTCTTGTGAATTTTTATTGATTTCCGTGTGTAAAAAAACCAACAAGAGTCTGACAAAAACCGCTCGTCTGACTTTCGTAAAATCTTACAAAGTTACGTTTACGTGGATCTGATGAGGACGATATTACCACGAACCAGACATATGAAACTCAAACTACTATTTTATACGGGCCAGTGAACCCTCGTGTAGCTCGAGATCGTCTCGGCGGTGCGGTAAGAATTGGCTCTAAATTGAATTGAACCAATAGAACTTGTAACTCCGGCTTGTCTCCGATAATCATCATCATTAAAATAAAAAAAAAAAGTGTGCACCCCTACGCGCGAAAAACTATTATATCTCGCAAATAAGCACTCGAGTCTCGCTCGAGAAAGAAAATTCTTCAGGCAAATAAATGAGCGATTTCTCTCTCGATATCGTCATTAAGAAATATCTTTGCATTCTTTTCAACTCCTATTTTTACAAAATAGTTGCAATGTTAAACGATTAATATAAACATTAATTTTATAATTTGTATATTTTTCAGAGAATCTGCAAGAGAAACTGTCAGTAATGGATTCATGTGCAAGGAGATATCAACTGCTTTGCAGTTGGAAAAATGTTTACATTTGCAAAACTTTGAGTGTTGGAAAGAGAGAAATTCAGCAAGTATATGCCAAGTTTTAGTAGGAAAGAGAGAAAGAGGAGGAAAGGAGGGGGGAGAGAGACAGGGAGAGAGAGAGAGAGAGAGAGAGAGAGAGAGGGGGGGGGGAAGAGATTACGATAGACTTTGCGACACGCCCGATTTTACAGAATTTAGTCGTTTGTGTCATCGACCGAACCAAGGTCGTGCAACCTTGACATCGCATTACGAAATCTTCCGCCTCTCATCGTCGGACCACCCACCGACCCCGAGCTTTACCACCGAACACTTCCGGCCGCGTTAGAAGCCGTAAAACGATCCTCCGAGATTTTCCGACTCATCGACCTCTTCCATCATATTAATATTGCGAAAATTTAAAGCTTGAAAAATACAATTTTTCTTTACCGCTTCAAAAGTAGCTAGTTTTCCTCTCGCTGGAACTCGTTCTCAACTAACTCATTAAGATAATCTCTCCAATTCGTTTGGATCAATTTTTACAATCAAATCCTTAATCAAATCGACTTAGAGAATATCGATTCTGTTCTATATTCAAACATTACACGAAAGCTTGGCGGGTTTTACAAATTTACGAAAATTTTTCCAATATCACGAATCTCATTCACCGTCCTTTCTCTCTCTCTCTCTATCTCTCTCTGTCTGTCTCTCTCTCTCTCTCTCTCTCTCTCTCTCTCTCTCTCTCTCTCTCTCTCTCTCTCTCTCACTGCTTCCCTGCTTCCTCTCTTGCGCTCCACCAACCCTCTCTGCTCTTCTCACTGTTTTCCGATGAAACGATTAATCCATGGGGAGCGCTTTACCAAACAAACACTTTGCTTCTTCCTTGCGTTCATTTCCTTTCGCTTCCTTTACTATATTTCAGATTCTTGCAATCTCCACGATGAGCCTTATACGCTCTCGAAATTTCCAGCCTAAATTAAGCTTCAAGTCGTACGCGCAGGAGATCGTCAACCCTTTCGATCACTCTCGCACATTGGCGGTTCTCAAAACTCACACCACAAATGCGACTATCCCGACACGCGCGTCGTCATCCTCGTCATCGTCATCGAAGCCACCGGTTTGGCCTGGCGCGCACTTTCACGCAACGTTGCGGCACGCGAGTGACCCTGCGAGTCGCGGGCGTCGCGGCGCACGGTGGCGACCTTGACTCGCTCGAAGGTCCCGGGTTTCGTGTACGCGCGGCGTCGTACGCAACGACGCGACGAACGCAGCGAACAAACGCGCATACGGACGGATGAAACCGGCCGGCCGGCGTCGGCGATCGGTGCTACGTAGGCGTCGCGATGCGATGCGACGCGACGCGACGCGACGCGATCGACGGGGGAGACGGAGGAAACGGAGTAACAGCGCGCCTAGCAACAGCGTGGCGTACGCGCGCGCGGCGGCTGCTGCGGTGGTGCTGCTGCGGCGGCGGCGGCGGCGGCGGCGGCGGTGGCGGTGGCGGTAGCGGTGGCGGTGGCGGTGGCGTCGTCGTCGTCGTCGCCGTCGTCGTCGTCGTCACAGGTATACGTTTCGCCGGTTCAAGGGGAGCAGGCGCTTTGCTGGGTGCGGCAGGCTGCGCCGCGGTGCCCGGCGTCCACTCCCTCTCTCCAGGCTTTACCGTACCTTCCCTCCCTGCCGCCGACCTTTTCTCCCGTCTCCGCGCCCCCTGCTAACACGTTCAACCCCTGCCGGCATCCCCTGCAACCCCTGTGTGAGCGCCTCGCACTGCGAGCTACCTCGTACCGCGTCGCGTCGCGACGCGACGCGACGCGACGAACCGAGGCGAACGGCCGCGGTGGAATTCTCACTGTAATAACGCACGCGTGGAATTTCGTAAGCGGCAACAACGGGTTTGGCTCGCGTATCCACGCACATCTTCGAAAACAGTGGGACGGATGGATCACGGGGGATGACGAAGACCGTGTTCCCCGTTGCCGTCGAGATTGTATTATACATGCGACGTCTCGCGCGGTCGCGAACTGCGATCAGCCGAAACGTGAATCGAGATTGGATTGAGAAGCAAAGGCCGTATACATTGGGCGAGATATTTCAAGAATCTCTTTATCGGATCTTTGCTACCAGAGTCACACGTACGTAACACGATGATTAACCCTTCGTTAATACCATTTTTGTATGTTTTTCGTATGAAACTTTTGAAAATTCTTCTTTTTCCTCTAGTAAATGATTGACCGAACTGAATAATGATGATGATCGAACTGAATAACATTAAATGAAATATAACGAAAAACACGCGTAATGCGTTTTTTTTGCGATATGCGGTATCGAGGAGAAGTTGCACTGAAGAGATATTTAAAAAGGATAACGCGCTGAAATGTTCACGCACAACAATTTACGTCCGATGCAAGCGATCAGATGCAAGGTGGTGGTACGTGCTATTTTTTTCTTCTCGAAGGAGAGAGAGGGAGAGAGAGAGAGGGAGAGAGAGGGAGAGAGAGGGAGGGAGGGAGGGAGGGAGGGAGAGAGAGAGAGAGAGAGAGAGAGAAAGTACATAAATTTTAATATACATCACGCTTGGCTCACGCTTGGCGCATAACTCTGTGATGTGTAGCTCATATCGTAATATGGTTCAAGGTTTTTACGTCGAGTTCGAGTCACTCAAGCATGAATCTGGCTACGACTTGGTGGCAGCCCCTGAGCGCAGTGCACGGCAGTTCGGGTTACTACCAACGAGATTCCCACAGGTACATCGCACACTGATGCAAACTGACGCTCTACCTACAGCATTAATTTAATTAACTTGGCAAAGACGGCGTCGAGGTGGAGTCGTAATTTCGCGAAAGCCTGTCTGCAAATGTGGGCACACACACACACACACACACCACCTCGACCTCGACCACTATCATTTCGTGTCGTTTCCGTTGTGTGTACGCGTCGACAGCGAAGAATCCGAATTGATCACTAAAAATTAAAACTATCATCTCTTGACGAAAAATTCAACAAGCAAGCTCCCGTGAGAACGAGAAGGACATTTGCATGATGGCTGTGGTCGAGTCGAACACGTTTTGCATCGGCGCGTTATTGTATTCCGAAATTAATTCGACCGAAACGCAAACAGCAGTCTTGCTCTGGATAAATTTATTATATGGAATAAAACACGGAAGACCGAGGTATACGTATTCTTCGTCTGTCTTCGAGCGCAGATAAAGCTACATAATTCCTACTGTAAAAAAATTAATGACTCGAGTCTGAAGACCCGAGAGAACCTGGCATGACTCGCGGGGGGGTAACTTTGACGCGGTTTCACCCCTGAACGCGGAGTGGCACACACCCGCCCCCCTCCCCAACAACCCTGCCGAACAGTCCATAACCCCAATGGACCGTATGCGCGCATTACGTGGCTTGGCAAATTGATTTATGAAATTAATTTGACGCGCACCTCAAAGCGGATACTTGGTTGGCAATTAACGTGTGAAGTACGGCGCGCGCTCGAGAATCACCGCGGAGTATTCCGCGAGCGTCTGGTTTATTCTTTAATGCTTGCACCAAGTCTCCAGCCGCGATTAAATCTGTGTGTATTCGTCTCTTAAAATACAGCTCTGTTTTCTGTCGTTGTGCTAGTGTAGTGTTTTGAGGCTTGAAAAGGGTGACGGCAAGTCACCCTGTATAGCAGAGATCTAACGGAAGGAAAAAGGAGAGGAAGCAAACTAGAGTACGTTGTAGGTTGTGATGAGAAAGCAAACCGCGTATTCGTATGTATTCGTCGTAATACGCGCTGACTATCGGCCGCATTCCCGTATCTTCATCTCACACGAATCCACACACGGAAATTATTTCCATCTCGAGCCAATATCTGACGCTCCGCATTTTGCGGCAAAGGCGTCTCTCGCAGCGGGCTCGTTCGCGACGCGGGGACGCTTTATCGCAACGTGAAATCCCGCAACGGATGCGGCCCTGAGAGCCGCTCACGCCGGCCGGCGCAACAACCCCTCCGCGACTGCCGGGATGGTCGCAACCCCATTCGAAGCTACTCACATCTACACGACGCGCGCGCGCGCACACACACACACGCGCGCGCGCGCGCGATCTCCCCGCTGCTTCCTGCAAGTACAATTGGAATATTCACCGCGCGACCAATGGACGCTGCCTGTGACACCGGGAGAGAGACATCGTTCTAGGACATTTGCATATACCTGTCTACCCAAGTGTCATTTGTAGCGACGCAATTGCAGATTAGCCGTGTGCGCGAGGATGGACGACAACGCGCAGTGCGCAGCACCGTAATGCATTTGTCGATCCGGTTTCACCTGAATTCTATCGGCAAGCGGATCGGCACGATCGGCCACGAAAATAGCCCTAGGCCTAGGCCTAGGATGGGATGGATTCACTGTACCGCGCAAAAGCACGAAAATATATTTTACAAGATACGATTTCCGACGTCGTTATTTGTGTGTGCGCGCGCATTTCTCGCTCCGTGAACGAATAATTCATGCTCGTAGATGCGGTCTTTCGCGACCGCGAGACAGCGAGAGACATTCGCGATGCCAATACCGGAGACTTTGCGTTGAATAAATTAGAGCGTTCCAAATGCGGATACGGCCCGGAGTCAAAAGGACGGAGAAGCATCTTTCGCCCGACGAATCAAAGCCAATTTGCAACGGCGTGTATCGCGCGCGCTTCCAGTATGTGGTTATGCGTCTCAAATACACTCGCTGCGCCTTTTCATTGGTAATTGCTAGACTTAGCACGAGACTTGCTCATCTGCTCTGATCAAATATGTTTCCGGACGTTTGTAAGAAACTAACACCGAACCATCTAGCTTTTTTCGACACCCCCTCGCCCCCGGGGAGAGGAGGGGAGAGGGGGGGAGGTCTTTCTTCAAATTTCCAAGATTATTATATTATGTATACCTAGTAGCGCATGCGCGACATGTCGCGTTTTACAAATTGAGCTTTACACATATACATGTATATTTCAAGAGGCACAAATTTTGTTCTTATACGACACAACGATGTTTTGCAGGCACGATGGATCGTTGCTAGACACGAGAGACCGTCTCTCGTGGATGACACAAGGGGAAGGGCAGATCGAAAGATCGATGCTTCGCGTTTCGAGGAAAGAAATCCAGCAGATTCTTCTGTACAAGAAGTCACACTCTTTCTCGTACGGCTAATTCGACGAAAGCGGGCAGACTCTCATCGAAGTTTTCTCTCGTGAGTGAGTGAGGACGACGCGACTGATAAGAGCTGGAGACGAGATGGAATCCGTATAGCTTCCGATCCCGTTCGACTCGCCGGAATTCCCGGCACGCGCGCAATCTTCACGCCACCGCCGTGCCCTGTCCGCGAATATTACGTTGGATTCAGGATAATACTATAAGAAAAATGATAGCGAGACGATGCTCGGCCGAGGCTGCGTGCCTCCGATTGCCGCGAATTCATAGCTTTCGCATGTAACGCGAATCAATCAACAAGCGGCAATTGGCTCAATTTTAGTCTTCCATATCCGATATCCGATTCCTTTATCCGATACACTCGGATTCCCTCGTCGCTACGGAAAGAGACGATTATACTTCTCCTGAATATTATTGAGAATTGTCGTAGCACTTTACGGACGTGCGTCCTCTCTCTCTCTCTCTCTCTCTCTCTCTCTCGCTCTCTCCCTGCAAAATACAATACTCGGCATTGTAATCAGCGGCGATGTTTCTAAAGAGACGGCTCTAAACGCGTTTCATCGATCTCGCTTCTTGAAATCGTCCGGCGATTCTTCTTCTCACGGCGAGAGATAACATTGAATTCGCACGTAATGGAGAGGACTTGAGGTGAGCTTCCGAGAGAGGCATTATCGTGTGCTCGATCCTCCCCCGGCTCGAGATACTCGCGTCGCTTAATAGACGCCCTAACGAAAAGGGAACCCTCTCACGCGTGTAGGTAGTATCCTCAGCAGATGCAAATCGCCCCGTGGCATAAGGGCCCCCCCCTTCCCGACGCGACGCATATCCCTCCCCCCTCAATTTACCCCACGCCCATTTATCTCTCTTCTCGGCCCGCTCGCGTACCGAATATCGAATTATCGATCTGCGGTCCACCCTCCGTGTCACCGGCCGTGTTCTCGCTCCCGGGAATCTCGCCATGGACTCAGAGAAGGAAAGGAAAATAACGCGCGCGAGCGTTACACGACCGAGCCCGCGGACAAAAGTTCCGTTGGCCCCTATAAATCTGACGTGATTTCAGCCGAGATCGTCGTAAGCCAGATCGATTTCCATCTACCAATAATAATAAAGTGCGCAAACGCGCGAACAGAGCTGCCGAATGCGAAAGAAACGCTTCCAATCAAGAGGCACGGTGTAGTGCCTCGCGCCAAGTTCAAGCGCAACGAAGTTGCGCCCGAACGACGCGAGACACAACGTGCCTATATTACGCGAAACTGCGAGTTGAAAACGAGGTTCACGAGAGATATTCATATCTCAGCAATGGTTAAACCGATCGTCGAGGTTTTTTTCAGTCTCGATCGATTCGGCCTTAAAAAAATAGGAAGAAAAGTGTCCTTGTGTTGTTTGTGTACGTTGTCTCTAAGTGTAGATATTTTAAAATAAAGTCCAAATCACGGAAAATTTCGATTCAGTAAGAAAGTAAGAAACGCTAGACCGCAGAGAGGAGAGGGGATTTGTGCATCTCACTTTTCCGACACCAGAGGCGTTACAAGAGCGCTGAAGAAGCAGTGAGTGCGAGTGAGCAAGCGATAGAGAGTAAGAGAGAGAGAGAGAGAGAGAGAGAGAGAGAGAGAGAGAGAGAGAGAGAGAGAGAGAATATTGCTAGAATACAGGAGTAGAAATGTGCGAGAAAGAGAAAGAGAAAGAGAGCGAGAGAGTAAGAGAGACAGAGAGAAAGAGAGAGAGAGAGAGAGAGAGAGAGAAGCCAAGATTTTTTGCATTAAATATTTTTTATTCCAATGTTATATTAACTAATTTATTATAACAACAAGTAAAGTAACCATAAAACTCAGTGTTCTAGTAAATAATGAAGACTGTTTTCTATAAAACGTTTTCTATAAAACGCGCATGTACAATCTCTCCGGTGTACACTCCTATCGCCGTACGCCGTATCGCTCTTTCGCGACGACTGACGAATTCGCTGGCGGTAACCCTGCTAGCCGCTGCTAGCGATTTCGCGCGGCCGGCTCGCGTATTCGCCCTGGTTTAATCGCGACCTTTCAGAGCCTTTTCCACAATTTCCCGTGACTTTTAGCAACTTAGCAACGTGAGGACGTCCTTGAACTTGGGGCATTACCAAGTGTACCTACCAAGCGCAGACACGGTCGCGAGAGCACGCCACGCCACGCCACGCCACGCCATCCGGCCACTGCCAACACGACAATGTCCACGCGACGATTCTCCTCGCTCGCTCGTGCTACTTGCCGATTTATCGCACGACTTATCGCTAAAGCCCTTCCTGTCAGCCGTTGCCCCGCTGATTCTGAACTGACTCGCGGCCGTATTAATATGCTCCGTGACGAATTACATTCTCATCATATACAGTCTCTCGTCTATGTATATTTATTCATGAACCGTTTGCCCGATTCCAAGCTTGAGCTTTTTGCGAATTGACTTTGCCAATTGTTTGCTCCGTTTGTCGAATACAAGCAGGGATTACAAGCGTTAAAAAAGTTTACTCTGTAGACTCTGCTTACTTGTTTCTTTGATTACATCTTGACGACAAATTGTTACCAATTTACACTTTAAGAAGGATGTATCTCCAAATGATGGATAAAATACATAACAGTTGGTAGTAATAATAAAGACGATAACGACGACGATGAAATGATAACAACAATAATATCTCGTAAAAAAAAAAACGAAAGCATGTAGATGGCGTGGTAGAGCGAGAAAAGGGAGAAGGTTTACGCAATATGAATATCAAGTTTTTAGGAAAATTCAGTCGCGCGTCGTTGCCCGCCCAACTGTCCCTCTGTGTGTATGCGGCATGTGTTTCATATAAATTGCTAATTGGCGAATGAATTTCTCTAAGTGGCACATCTGAATTGCGCGCGCGGCTGTGTGTGCGGTGTTAATTTCTCTGTCCTTCCTCTCCCCTCGGAAGTTTAGAGAGCGATAAATTTAATTCGCTCGATTCAGGCAATTAACATACGCGGCTGAGTGATAATGCTAATGAGCGCGTGTACGAAAATGTAAGAATTTACAATTAATAATGCACAGCCGACTTATACGCGAACGAGATAAAGTCCTATCTATTTACCTCATCGAGTCGAGGTATCGGACGATTGTCGCAATAACGAATTGCCCGCGATCGTTAACACGATGATTGTCAATCGTTTGAGAGTACTTGGCGCAAACTTTGACTCGTACGCACGCGAGATATAGTCCCGGTAAGAAAGTTAACATATTAATTTTAAGGCTCTCTCTCTCTCTCTCTCTCTCTCTCTCTCTCTCTCTCTCTCTCTCCCTCTCCCTCCCTCTCTCTCTCTCTCTCTCTCTCTCTCTCTCTCTCGTGCGGTATTTATGATGTGTTCTATAGAAGAAAAATGCATGTTGAAAAATCTGCGGAGCCGACTGATGAATAAATAATGCCAGGACGAGGAATCTGTTGTACAAAGCGCGGCTAATCGAATCACAATCTTCACCCCGCGCAACAGCACGTGTTGCGTTAACGACCATCTAAGCGAGCAATAAAATATCAACCGTAAGCGGAGAACGCTTTATCGTCCGACTACTCGCGCGAAATAAAACACAAACGAGACTCAACGAAGAAACGAAGAAATTACATAACGCAACGCTTTCGACCGTAAGCGCGCGCGCATTACTTTTACTTGCTCGATCGCGCTGACGTTCGTCTTGTCGTCTTGTCGCACCGAGAAGAGAATCATCGTAAGAAACACACCGCGCGCGACGCACGAATCGCGCGTGCCATGCCATGCCACGAATGACGACGCCTTCCCGCATCGCAACGAATGATAACGCCTCGGGATTGCGTTAGGAGAAGCGACTCGTTGTTCTCGATGGCGATGCCGAAAAATAAGACGAAGCGGAGGAGCGCGAGCACGATAAATCAACGCGTAACGATCCACGGACAAAAGTATCTCCAAGTTCATCGAACCACACTTACACGCTGGAAGATACGCGCAATACTTAACAATGAATAGTCGGTTGTCGTCATCCATTCAAAATGCACGATGCACGAGCAGCGCGACGCTTTCACGTACGCTTTCCACGCGTCACGTGCCACGAATTTTCGTCACCGCGTTCGCGATCGAGCATCGCCGATTAAATGACGCCGTCGACGGCGATGCTTCCGCATGAGACTCTGTACGTAGCGTGCCGTAACGTCGGCATTTCGAGTTTGCATAATAGGAATTGTTATTTATTCGGGAATACACCGATATCGGTGGATTTCTCATAACTGGCTGCGCCGTTTCATTTATTCGAAAATGAGCGATCGAAAATCATCTATCTTCCACCCTGCTTCTACGCATTGAGTGAAAAAAATCATTTGAACATTGGAACGAATTAAACGCGTTCTGGTTAAAGAAAGCCGCATTTTTCATTCTTAAAACCGAATTTGAAGACCGCTCACAAAAAGCGGAGTCCTTCTCCTTGATGAAAATGTTTGGTTTGCTCGCGTTCGTTGCATCACATTTGTTCAACCAATTTTCCTTCCACATCATGTACTGATCGAAACTCTCGTACTCTGAGAAACATGCGTCGATATCTTCTTTGGAAATTCCACGAGCGAAATTCAACAGCGACGAATTTGGCGAGTTTTCTGCGCCCCTGTACGTAACATCGCGGCGCGACAAAGTGCGTGCCTGTGGAATGTAGAGCTCGCATTAGGAGTCCGTACAGCGGCGGTTTTGGAAAACGCGATTGCGTACTATCTCAACCCTCATGGTCATGCAGCGAGCATAACTGTCGCTCGATGAGAACGATATGATGCGTCGCGTCACGTTGTTGCTAAGTCTTCCTTCGGTGTGTATGTGTGTGTGTGTGTGTGTGTGTGTGTGCGTGTGCGTGTGTGTGTGTGTGTGTGTGTGTGAGAGAGAGACAGAGCGATTGGAATTAGGCATAATTATGGGCACTTACTTTTACTTATTTTTGATTTATCAACAACGTCTAGCATGAAACAATTAAACGCGCGTATCCATTAATTGTTTATTTACGATACAACTTTTCCTCCCTTCCTCGGCGTTTTAATTATCATTTTGAGCGTCCGGTGTTCGGTCTGCGCGCGATCCGAGTGGTTGGTTAATGGAAGAACTATCTCTCACGCGCGGCGTTTGCCGCGCGCGAGCCTAAAACGAAAATAACCAACATCAAAGAAGACGGTGAGTCGTACATACGTCCCATCTGAATCCCGGATAAAGGCTGCAGCGAGCGAGCGAGCGCGCGTGGGAGAGCCGTTTTTTCCTTCTTTTTTTTCTTTCTTTTTTCTTTCTTCGTGTCTGCCACCGCCGTCGCCGACGCCGTCGTTGCCGTATGTGACGCTGTAATTTCGCACGAAAATAACTCGCGTCGTAGCGGGGTGGCACTTGGACAAACTGCGTCCATCGGTTCCCCCCCCCCCCCGTCTACGCTCGTTGAAACAGCAAATTTCCAGCGATCGAGTACATAATTGTATATACTCTTTGTAGCGTGTGCGCGCACTAGATCGCGAGAGCGATTTAGCATCAGTCGCGCCTATAGTCCGCTCCGCATTAAATCCGCACGTTTCTCTCACGCAGCGCATCCGTCGCGCTTGCTCATTTTGCGAACGAATTTAGAACGGAGAAATGGGAGGCGGACGGAGGAATTGTGTGTAAATTCCATGTCTGTCCGACACGCTATACCAATGTATAATGCGTAAGCGTGTGCGCGCGCATTGTGCCCTTATTCGATCGAGGAATTTCTCATTGCGATTGCGCTTTTAACGCAAGTGTATATCCTTTCGGAAATCTCGGAAATGTCAATATCTGACGCTACGAATAATGAATTAACCTAACCTAACCTAACCGGTCGATTGGCCGATTTGATCATCGACGTCCGGTTGTCCGGTTAACGGCATTTTTGATTTTTAAAACCGATGATTTTGAAAACTGCTCAGCAAAAAAGCAGAGTTCTTCTCCTTAATCAAAATGTTTGGTATACGTTCATCGCATCACATTTGTTCGACCAATTTTTCTTCTTTCACATCATGTACTGATCGAAACCGTACTCTGAGAAACATGCGCATTCTATCTTCTTTGGAAACGACTCATATGGAGGGAAGAAAGGAAGGAAGGAAGGAAGAAAGGAACATGCGCACATAATATATCTAATAAAAATTCGATAAGAGTTTCCGACGCATTCTAAGCAGATCGCGCAATAACGTTTAATCATGATTTACGAATGGATACGGAGATTGCAAAAGGAGAATCTAGGATGAAGAAAAATCGAGAGAGAGAGAGAGAGAGAGAGAGAGAGAGAGAGAGAGAGAGAGAGAGAGAGAGAGAGAGAGAGAGAGAGAGAGAGAGAGAGAGAGAGAGAGAGAGAGAGAAAGGAAGATGGGGAGGGACAG